GAGGGAGGGGGGGGGGGTGAAAAAAAACAAAAACAAACACAAAATGCACAGTAAAATATTATTACATAGATTTTGCTAAATGAGAGATGAATTTGTATCCAATTGTGTCACTAGTTTGCTTGATAACTGTCTGCTAATGATGACTGGTTCTGCTGCAATCCCTTCCTGTAACGATTGCTACAATTTGAAAGACAAAAGCGGTAAGCCACACTGGGCAAAGCAAAGAAAAAAGGTATTTTATGCACCATATAACCATTTAGCATGCCCTGTGGGAACACGGACAATATCATTTACATACCTGAATTCTAATCAGATGGCACTGTTAACATCTGCTGAAATCCTGGCAATTAACTCTCCATTTGAAGTCAAAGCTGATCACCACACATCTTTATTCACCTTTAAAAAAAATTACAAAATAAAAACTGCATAAATACAAATGACTATACAGACAAAGGCTGACAATTGTTTTATATTTCACCATTCACCTAAATGGATTTACAGGGTTGTGAAGCCCAATTTACACTGGACATAATCGAAAGGTGCCCATACACCTTACGATTATCGGACGAAACTTTTTGTCCGATGATCAAATAGGCAGCCCCATCCTGCCCCGATGAACGCAAGATTAATTTAGCCGTAATTAACGAAAGGCACCTGGACGAAATGCGGTAATTGATTTGCCGTATTTTCGTTAGCGCAAGCACAGTGTAGATCGTACGACTTTTGACGGACGGAAACGCCAGCAACCTTACGACAATCGTACGATCTAGCAAAGTTTTCAAACATGCTTGGCCGTCAAAAGTCGTACGATTGTACAGTACTGTCGGTCGGACACTGCAATGCACACATACGATTGTCGTACGAAAAGTCGATCACATACGAAAATTGCCCCATAATCGTAAGGTGTATGGGCACCTTAAATCTCTCCTTTCTAAATAGGATTTCTGGAGAGACCATTGGTATTTTTGTTTTTAGTGCCCACCAATTACTTAAACAGAATTATAATCACCTTACGTGATGCGCACAAGCTCCCTCGCCAGCCACCAACATGTATACTCCTCGGCTGCATCTAGTGGCCATTATTGCTGTAAATCTCATTTGCATAGCTGTTTGCTGTGTGAACAGTTTATAAAACAACCTCTAAGGCTCTGTTCACACCTAGGCGTATCGAATATGCGCGTTTGTCGCGCGTTCCAACCGCGATTAGTAGTTTAAAAAACGTGCAACAAACGCGCGTTTCCGAGGGCTACTTGGCTGTATCCCAATGGAAACGCGCGACAAAAACGCCACAAAAGAAGCTCATGTACCTTTTCAGGCGTAGGCCGTTTTGTAGAGCGTTCAGACAGGCTGAAATACGGCAAGGTGTGAACCATACCCATAGAAAACAATGGGATTTTCATGTTTGAGCGTTTTGTAGAGTGTTCGTAGAGCGTTGAACGCGCTACAAAACGTACAGGTGTGAACCAGGCCTAAGTGTTTAATTGGTTAAGGCCTCTGATATTGAACTTTAAAGTTACACTAAACTCATGATTTAAATCTTAAAAATGCATTCAAGTACCTCACCTAGTAACAAAATGTAACTTATTTGTGTATCACTCAGCTATAGATCCTCAAATCATCTCAGAATTGGTGCTGACACTGTCCTTCCTTCTGGAGGGAGGCTACTTTTGTTCCCCATGGTCCCTGTGTATGTTGTAAAGTAGCCACCACTCCCGTGATGGACTACAATCTCACGTTCAGTTTACTAATGTGTATTGAAGTTATAGTCTATCACAGGAGTGAGCTTGGAGCAGTGGCTACTTTACAACACACCATGGTGAACAAAAGCAACCACCCTCCAGAAGGAAGGACAGTGTCGGCATGAATTTAGAGATGATTAGAGGATCTACAACCGAGTGATACACAAATAAGATACATTTTTGTTCATTATTAAAAAGGTACTTTAATGTATTTTTAAGATTTAGCTCCTGAGTTTAGTGTCACTTTAATATTGCAATGAATGTAGACTGCCCTAATATTTTTGGCTGTGTAATTTTCTTTGTAATCCATATGTGGTTTAGCAAGCATGCAGTAGTGTTTTCTGCACATAACAGGAATGAGTCACAAGATACCTGCATGATAAAAGGGGTGTGGGGGGTGGAAATACACCCCCTCTCCTTAATTCATGGCACATCAGGCTACAAATCAACAGAGTACCTCTGCACACTGCAAGAGATTTTAGCGAGAAAAAAATAAAATAAATTAAACATCCTGTCCACAAAGAGGAAACATAGGAACTGAAAGTCTGTCATTTGATTAAAGTTTTTATATAGTCTTATGATCTTGTAGCCATGTGTCTCGTTTAAGTTAGGAAAGCACCGAAGATGACTCCTAACAGATGACTGAAGAGAACTTTTTTTTTTTATGATTTTCTTTTTTTAGCCAAGGATAGGTTTAACGTTTTGAACCTATCCTTCCAGAAGAGAAGTGTAATCTTTTCTAAAATGAGCAAAGTAGAACATGGAAGATGCTTTTTTCTAGTTACAATGGCAACACTCCATTTTAGTGAGGTTATATTTAAACACAAGCAGTTCTCCTCAGTACAAAGAATGCATTACACCAACTTAAATGTGTCTATGTGCACAACAATCTAACCACAAATGCACTTACAATTGCAGATATACCTTCTGCACACAGAATCATGACATGGGTAACTAGATGAGGTTTACCAATTCTCAAGACCACACACATTTTACTACAAAGCAGGTGTGTGCTGGTAATGTGATGTAGGTCTTAATCATTTATTTACCCCATAAAGGACCCTTTCACTGCCAAATGCCTTCTTTTTCCATTTTTTCATTTCATGTACACATGATATAAATCCACATTTTAGGCCTGAAAAATTACTTCAAACCCCCAAAATGTTATATTTTTTCTGAAAGCCAACACCCTGTACAGTAAAATGGTGGCAGTTGCAAATTTTTATGTTGCACGATATTGGCACAGCTCCTTATCAAACCCCAAAATTTAGTTTTTGTAAAATATAAAAGAGGAGGTTACGACGAGTAAATAGATAACCAACATGCCCAGGTTAAAAATTGCCCGTAAAATAACAAAAAAATAAAGTACCCCAAAAAGTCCATAGACGACACTTTGAAAGCCCCTACAGGTCATCAGAGATCTGCATAAATATTTGCCCTAGAATTATTGCTCTCACTCTGTCATGCGCAGTGATACCCGACACTTGTAGTGCAAGCAACGTTTTCGTACGTAGGAGCACCAAACGCGCGTTTGCGTGAATGCACGTGTGCTCGTGGGGGCGGGGGACGGCACCTAACCAGAAGCCGATTAAATCGATGATTGAAAAAGTTGACAACTTTTTCAATCATCGATTAATCGGCTTCTGGTTAGTTGGCCCTGTTCACACGCCGCACCTCCTCCCCACCTCACGCTAGCCGCTGCCAGACCCGCCCGCATCCACGCTCCACCTCCTCTTCGCCCTCCCACATCCACGATTGGCACAGGGACGTGGGGAGAAGTAATGAGGAGCAGGTGTGGGGGGGATGACAATCGCCGATAGACAGGCCCTATCTCAGAAGCAAGTTGCTGGAAGACTGCTCAGGTAAGCCTGCACTCCTCACCTGGTGCTCTATAATGTATTGCTGGGATTTGTATTCCTCTATAGCTGATGGTACATTGTGCTGTATATTATACAGAGGACTACAAATCCCAGCAATAGTACATTATACACTGTATGTATAATGTACTATTGCTGAGATTTGTTGTTGTATCCCTCTATAGCTGGTGGTATTCTGCATTGCGCTGTATAGAGCACTACAAATCCCAGCAATAGTACATTATACAGTGGTGCAATGCCTAATACCACTAGCTATAGAGGACTACAAAACCCAGCAATAGTACATTATACAGCGCAATGCAGAATACCGCCAGCTACAATGTATTGCTGGCATTTGTTGTATTCCTATATAGCTGGTGGTATTCTGCATTGCGCTGTATAATATATTATTGCTGGCATTTGTTGTACTCCTCTGTAGCTGGTGGTATTCTGCATTGTGCTGTATGATGTACTATTGCTGGGATTTGTAGTCCTCTATAGCCGGTGCCATTCTGCATTCATTGCTATATAATTTTACACTTTTCATTTCACTATATTGCACACCACACTTTTTTTTTTCTTATTTACTTCTACCGGTCCAAGCTTGCTCCTGTGATGGACTACAATCTCAATACAAACTAGTAGTCCCATCACTGGAGCCATTTTTTAAAATGTATTTTATTTTTTATCCGATAAACCGATTAAGCGAACTCAATAAATCGACTAACTAATCGATTTTGAAAATAATCGTTAGCTGCAGCTCTACTTAGATAGCTTATTGCTTGGCTTCAGGAGCCCAGCACTGACAGCTATAGGACTGGAAGTGATGCAATCTGCATTGCTCCCGGTCCTATAGAGCAGGGAGTTGATTAGTGAAGGAAAGTTCACCACTCTCCGGAGCCCCGGGAAACACGGCGGAAGTGTCGGGCAGGGGGAGGGGCACTTTACCAGCCCATAGAAGCGATCTGGGGGCAGCTGAGCTGCCAGAATGGCTTCTATTGTAAAGCCAACAGCCAGCTTCACAATTGAAAAAACAGAGACCTAGCGGCTTTAGTCTGTTGGCCTGCTGCCAATGACGTACTATGTATGTCACTGTTCGCAATAGGGTTAGAGCATGTATAGCCAAAATGTATTTTTTTTTTATTTGTTTTCGATAGAGTAGGAATGGATTAGAAGTTCTGTCAAGTTTTTACAGTGGTATATATCTCTGCTGGTGACCATTGTCATTGAGGCAAAAAATTATGTGAAATCCAAAATTTTAGTCATCACCAGAAAAAGAAGCCAGAGGAAATACTGCAATGGGGACACCCGTTATGCTAACAACTGTTGGTGAAGATAAACACAGGTTCACCTCAAGGCCAGAAAATAAAACAATTGTTTTCTATGTGCTCTGTTCACACCACAACGCTGCCTTGAGGTGGGTCATGTGTAAAAATGTATACATGCTGTATTTTCCGCAAATTTTTAAAGCTCAGCTGCAGTCACTATTGGTCACCACACCATTGCAGCGAATAGAGATGAATGAAATGTCATTTTGTGACATTTCAATAAAGTTGTTTTTTTAAACAATGCCCTGCCAGTGTAAGAATGTTAGGCATGGCTCCCCCCTTTCACATCAGCCAATAGCGTGCATGCTAAAACAGCTCATTTTAGCATGCAGGCTGATGTATACAAGCTCTTAGAGAGAAATTCCCCTCACTTTATTAATCTCCGTTCACACCAAGGCATAAGCGTTTTAGCGCAAAGTTTTGCCCATTTTTACAAGCGTTACACACGCATATAGAAAAATGCAGGTTTTATT